AGCCATATTTACAAAAATATGGAAATAGTTCATTTCAATTTATAAGCAAAAAAGTTTTAGCAACAATATAGCTAAATTGCTTCATTTGTTTGACATTTTAATTTAATCAGTCATTTATTATTAAGGTTGATGGTTTTGGAAAGAAGAGTTTGAAGTTTTCTGTTAGTCCCTTGTGATCACTTGTCAGCAGAAGGATGTTTTCTCCTAATTTTCTTAGAATAACTCTTAGTGTGAAGTAACCAAGCTATGTCCATTTGCATTAGCAAAGCAAAACATATTTTCCCTTCCATAAACATCCAGAAGGTTGGTATTCGGGAAGTTAGAACTCATACAGATTAGAAGTCATTTTACTAGTCCTTGCTCCCCCTTGTCACTTTCAACTCTTGACTGTTCATTGCAAAGGTGTTGAAAACACAACCTGAAGATTTATTTAATAAATGATTCATCTGTTGAAATAAGGATTTGGGATTACTTGCCAACACAAGACAAAGAAGGGGTTGAGGGATAATCTTAGGGTATTGACCTTTTGTTTCTTCCCATGTGCAGACTTAGATTTTGTTAGGTAATTATTTATTTTTAATTAAATTTTGACCCCTTCCAGAATTTGTGTAGTGAATTCTAAATCTATATCTGTGGCTCTAATTCCATTCTTAATTCTCTTTGTTATATTAAGGAGTCAGGTTTATTGTAGGGTAGTTTTTCAGTCATTCTCTCTTTAGATATAAAAAAGAATAAACAAGTGAGCAAAAGAGAGGTTGAGTAAAATAGATGCCAAGACAGAGATCTCCAAAGAATAGGAAGCAGACACTGAAGAGACAAGGTGTTTCCTCTAGAACTGACAGAGCAAGCCTTTCCCCAGAGCCTGCCCTCGGACTTCAGATTTCTAGGCTGTAACAAAATAAATTTCTGTTTGTTAAAGCCATCACTGTGGCGTTTTTGTTATAGCCGGCTTAGATAACTAAGGTTGATTTAATCTCTTTCATTTGTGACAAGTGTTTCTAAACAAGGAAATGTTTTGTTTGTAGAGAAATGAAAATTAAAATTTGGATCTCCTAAGAAATGAAAGAACACAAAAGCATAGCCAGAGAATGTTTTTAAAAATCCACACATATCTTGGAATTTTCATCTTCATATTACACATTTCTAATCCAAGTTTTATTTCTCTAAATCCTAATTTTTCTCTGAATCTTAGGTTTGTTGAATTATTTAGTTTGTTTTCAGAGGATATATTTTCAGAACTGCTCACACTCATTGCAATCAAGTTGGAACAAACTCACAGCTTTTTTGAAGGCTGTAAACCACTGCAGAGATCTTTTCTCCTGTGAAATATTCGAATCATCAGTAGGACTCAGCCTTTGTGATTGTAGTGTAATTCCTTATAGGCAGCACCACCATGAAATACCAATAATTTTCTTTAGAAAACAAATTTTTGTATAATATATGTTGGAACAATCATTAGCATTTAACTGGCTCTCCCAGCCCTCCTAGGGAGCTCTGGTGGCCTAAAGATAAACTGCTCTGCAATCCTGAGAGTATGTGGTTGAAACTACCTGCTGCTCTATGGGAGAAGCATGGTCAGTCTCTTCTTGTGTGATTAACTGCCTCTGAAAACTGACTGGAGGATCAGCTATGGGTCTGCTCCAACAGCACACAACAACCACCCTCCTTAAATGCTAAGTATTCTTCTCTTGTTTCCCTCCTTGATAATCCTTTATCTCTCTGGTTTCTTTTTCTGTGATTGCTCTAAAAGACTCTTTCCTTGGGATTTTATCATTAGACCGTTTCAATGTATGATCTATGTTTTCATTTACTTACCTAAGTATTTTCATTTCCTTCTTGCTATTTTTCAGTTAGTTGTACATGTCTGTTAGATAGCTCAACTTCAGGAAGCTAAGATTTAACATGTCTGAAACAAAGCTAATCTTCTTTTCCCCTCCACAAAAAACAAAAATATTCTTCCTATACTCCAGATTGTCCTAGGAAATTCTGGTGGCTTAGTGGTAAGGAGCTGCACTTCCATCTCAAAGGCATCAGTTCAAATCCACCAGCTGCACCACTAGAGAACGATGGGCATTGTTGCCTAACACCACCACCACTACCACCCAGCCCCATGTGATTTACTAGCCCTGAAAACCCTCTGGAGAGTCAGCTCTGACTAGGTTCCAACTTGATGGTACATGAAAATAAGTACCTTTTGCTCTCTTCTGTGATTTGATTGCTAAGTGATATATCAAACTCAGCTTCTCTGTCTCTTAAACCTTTCTTTCATCATAGACATTTTGTCTTTTTTTTTTTTTTTTGGTTTGCTTACAAAGTTTGTATACATTGTATTTCATACTATTCTTCATTCACATGTGTTTCATACAATCATTATCAGCCATAGACATTTTTGCTGGCTTAACTTGGGTCTTTCTTATTATTTAGATAAACTATTAAAATACCCTCCTAATCAGACTTCACACTTCTTTTTAGTCATTCCCTACTAGTATAATTTCAACACTATTGACAGTTATTTTACTAAAATGCTGATTTTCAATGATTTTTCACTTAAATAAATACCTTTAGTATTACCTTACAGCCTACAGTATAAATATTATAATAATATAATAAGTGGAAACTATTATACAGTATAGGGGACTCTGGTAGCCTAGTGGCAAGAAGCTGCACTGAAATCCCAAAGGCATGCAGTTCAATGCCACTAGCCGCTCTGTGGAAGAAGGATGGACAGTCTCTTCTCATGCAATTAACTGCCTCTGAAACCTCTCCAGAGGGTCAGCTATGGGTCAGTTCAGACTCTACGGCATACAACAACAACATTATAAACTATTATAAAGATCAAGATCCTATATTATATATCATTTTATTTCATTTACTGTTCCTTTCTTTCTTCATAACTGTACCACGCAAGTTATGCCACCATCTCCCTAGTGTGTGCTTAAATGGCTTTTTATCCTTGCTTGAAGTATTTTTATCTACTTTGTTGTTAAATTCTGAATTCAATCATATTTCACTCTAATATTAGCTCCTCACCAACTTCGTCTTTTCATATTTTTGTCAAGAGTATACACTGGCTTTATATGTTTTTCAGGATGCTTGGAAGACTGTTCATGTTGTGGATGAGGGCTTCTAGAGTTTTTCCAAGGCACAGGACAGAGCAGAGTTTAGGGCTTTTGTACATAGGGTCACTATGAGTCGCAGGCAACTCGAAGGCACATAATAACAACAACAACAACATTTCTCTAATAAAGTTTAAGTCCTTGGTTTTACTTCTAGGTCCTTGATCCACTTTGAATTTATTTTTGCTTATGGTGTGAGGGGTGGGTCTTGTTTGAGTTTTCTGCAGATGGTTTTTCAATTTTGCCAACACCATAAGTTTAAAAGGCTGTTGTTTCCCCACTTAACTGATTTCATCTTCTTGTCAAAAATCAATTGACCATAGGTTGGTGGGCTGATTTCTGGGTTCTCAATTCTATTCCATTGATCTATGTGTCTGTCTTCATAACCACAGCAGTGTTGTAGGATATGAAATCCTACCTTGTTTCTCTTTTTTCAGGAGTGCTTTGCTTATTCGGGGTCCCTTTCCATTTAAAATGAAATTGGAGATTGCCTTTTCCTTCTTGTTGAAGATTGGAATTGGTATTTTTATTGGGATTGCATTAAATTTGTACATTGCCTTTGGTAGAATGGTCAGTATATTCTTCTATTTCTCCAGGTCTCTTTTGGTTTCTTGTAGTAATGTTTTATAATTTTCTTTGAATAGATCCTTTGTGTTTCTAGTTTGATTTACTCCCAAGTATTTAATCTTATGATTAGCTATTGTGATGAGTATTATTTTTCTTAGCTCCAGTTCTGTATTCTCTTTATCACTGTAGAGAAATCCAATTGATTTTTGTATGTTGATCTTGTATCCTGCCACTTTGCTTAATTGGTCAACTATTTACAGTCGTTTTCTTGCTGAATCTTGAGGGTTTTCTAAGTATACTATCATATCATCTGCATATAGAGATAATTTTACTTACTCTTTGTCAATTTGGATACCTCTTCTTTCCTTCTCTTGTCTTATTGCTATCTTTAAGAATTCCAATACAATATTGAATAGGAGAGGTGAGAGTGGGCATCCTTGCCTAGTTCCTGTTCTCAAATGGAATGCCTGTAATCCCTCTCCAATGAGAACAATGTTGGCTCTTGGGTTTTTACCATGTTGAGGAAATTCCCCTCTAATCCTATTTTTGCACTCTTCCTGGATGATACCCTTGATATCCTCCCACAACTCATCTGGCCTTCATTCATTAGTGTTCAAA